CCAACATTTTTGTTGTTCTGTTTTGCCATTCTTGTGAACTTTAAAACACCTTCATTGATAATTGACTGATTATAAAATTTGATAAAATGCCGGTGTTATATCACTACCTAGTGTTCAGCTTTAAGTTTAAAGGATAAGTGCACTTTGTTTTAAAGTGCACTTATCCTTTTGGCACCTTTAAGCTAACCTAATCGATCTCATCCTCCCCTTGAAAAGATGCATACTTATGGAGTTCCAGGGGACCCAGCTTCCGCCGTTTGCATCAAGCATCAAAATAATTTCTCTCCTGTCCGCGGCTGCGCAGAACATTCCCATTTTTTATTTATTTATTGTCTGCACAATCTCTAATATTAGGCTTAAACTTTTCATTTTGGTTATCCTTAATAGTACTAACAAGAAAAAAATGGGTGAGAGCAGATAATTATTTTGAGTATATGTGAGCTGGTTTCAGGGCAGGCTTCCTTTTCGGAAGAAGACAAAGTGAGGGGAATTTATGAAAACGGGAGCAAAGAGAATCTGGAGCAGTTGACCATGGCAATCAATCAGGTTCTCTGTTTCATTTTCAAAGCTTAACTGAACAAACTAAAGAGAGAAGATGATTGGTTGCCAGGGGCAACTGCTCCAAATTCTGTCTGCTCCAGTTTTCATAAATTCCCCCCACTGATGTTACCTGTACTGTACATATTCATTAAAATGGAAATAATTATATTTTTTCTCACATTCAGATTCTTATTATAATATCATCACAATTCTAGATGGTAATTTCATAGAAACTATGATTACTTATAGTCTATTCCCTGTTTGCACTTCTTTTCTAGTGACACAGCATTGCAGTGGTTTCAAATCATTCCCACCCTGATTTTCATTGGCCGCTCAAAATTGGGGAAAAAATTGGAACCCTGGGCAGCAAATTGCTGTGGCTAAAATATGATGAAAATCTTCAAAATTGCTGAATGCGTAGTCAGCATTACAAATATGTAAGCACAACCAGTGCTGCTTAGGCAGGAATAAGTTTTGATGTTAATGGCCTTTTATTTCCAGTGTGGAAAACCTTTAGAAATAATGATGTCATGTAACTGAGCTCCGTCTGTGTGTTGAACACATACAGATGTTTCAGCCAAAGAAAAGAGGTGGTTCCTGCCTTTGGCAAAACACACACCGAAAATGTTAACAACCTGTTCCATTATATTGGATGGAGTTAGGACATTTAACCCTACTGAATACAAAAATGTAGAAACAAACACATTAGGCCAAAGCAAAACTTGTTTAACCAAAGCAGCTTAATAACAGGTCCATTGAAAATGTAACTCCACCCTTCTTCAACTTTCAAATGATGAGGCTGGAAATGTTTTATTTTGGCTTGCCATCTTAGAGGTTTCTTTGTAGTTGTTTACATTTAGCAATAGTTAAAGCAGAACTACACTGTCATATCCTATGCAGTCAACAAAGGTGCCATGTTAGCCTCTATTTCGACTGCAGTTGCCATGGTTCTGCAAATGTAATCAGCAATGACTCTAGCCAATTTGAGGGTTTGAAGGTTCAGTTAAGAGCTGGCAACCTTGACAAATGGCATGCCTTTAAAAGTAATTCTTTTGGGAGACAGTTAAATTGGTGGGTCTGGTTCCGCTTTAAAGTATAACTAACAGGCTAGGACTGCTGTCTGGTTTTTATTTCTATCTCTGTCCCCGTTAGGGAGATCCGCTATCTTTAATGGTCTTGATCACCAATGTCACTGGATATGAAAGTGAGGGTAAATCCAAAATTATGAGTCACTAGATGACACTTCCCGTGATACCTGTCTGGGATTTTCCTCACATTGGAAAGATATTTTCTCACTTCCTGTTAAGTCTTCAAACATTTTTTTGGCTTTGAGATACACATTAGATAATTTTTTAAGTAATCCCTACCAGTAATCCCTAGGTAGAGTAGGTAAAGGAAATCCTCTTTGAGACAGCTGTCACCCAAACAAGTGTTCTTATTAGAAGCGTTCCTCTCTATTCCTGTTCCAGTGACATCTCATCATTTAGGATTTTCCCTCTATTTTAGACATGGGGACAATAGAAAGGGTGGATCTCTCTTGTGGGCTAACAAACTGAAATAAAACCTTGACAGAGGTTGTAATCCTTAAAGGAGAACTATGGGGTTAAGGCTTTTCCCCATAGTTCTCCTTAGGGTAATGGGAGGACACAAACTAGCGTCCTCCCGTCACCCTAGACTCAGTATACCGCGAGCTGAGACGCCGCAGTTTACCGCGAGCTGCTGCTCGCGGTATACTAAGGCGCCGCAGCTGAGGCGGATCCCGACAATTATGTCTGGATCCGTCCAGCTGCGTGACTGACAGCTGGCTCTGCCTATCTAGAGGCAGAGCCAGCTGTACCCGCCCCCTCCCCCGTCCGTTCCGCTAGTCAGCGCTGGCGGATCGGAGAGGGGGGAATCCAGCCCCTCCCCTGTCACGGCAGAGAGCCGTGACAGGATCGAGAGGTGAGCGAACGCCGGTATGTGTTCGCTCACCTCCCGTTCTACTGAGCTGACCTGTGACAGTTTAATTGTCACAGGTCGGCTAGAACTATGAGGTGAGTGAAAAGCACTCACCTCATAGTTCTCCTTTAATTACAGAACGTTTGTATGAAGCAAAATAGCAACACGAAGTGAAATTAATGTCAATATAGAGCCCTAAACAGCAGGCAGTGTGCGGGGGATAGGCTGAGAGGAGATGAATCAATCCTCTAACTCATTCAGTTTTTAATGTACATTTGAGTTTTAGCAATTGGGCTCCATAAACAGGCTTTTTCGGGAGCCAAGAGCTCCTCCTGTTGGCCAGAAATATAGATATGAAATACTTGTACACACAAAAAAAACGAT